CAGACGTGTGCTCTTCCGATCTCTTAGCTAAGGCAAAGACAGCAAAAATTGTGTCTAACAAGTGCTGGATTTTGCAACAGATGGCTCTTCAATAAGTTAGATAAGGACATTGCACGTGTTTGAGTGAGATAAAAGATATTGTATGAAATTTATTTAGAGATACCACTGACACCGAAGAGTCTGTTTTATCGACCTCGTGCAAATTTTTTCGATCTTCCAGCATCACCTTAAAAAGCCATGATTCGTTACTTTTTTATAATACTAAAATAAATTAAAATAAAGAAATTAAGGCGATGCTGGAATACCGACATTTGCATTCTAAGTAATAACTCCGAAACGACTGAACGGATTTGAAAACGCTTTTACAGGATTGAAATAGAAATAAAATGTAAACGCGCGAATTATGTATTTGTAGTAAAAACAAAAAAATATTCAAAAATTATCTTTTTGGGGGTATCATAACCTCTCACCTGACGTAAACATTTCATTGGTACAAAAGTTCTGTAGCTCATATGTACAAAAAAAATAATTCGCGCGCATCGAATTATTTGCACGAATAATACAAAACCTTTTGAGCTACGATTGGAAGCGTAGAAAAATAATTATCGCTTAGAATGCAATTTGTGGTAATTTGTACGTTCGGCTGAGGTAAAGACAGCAAAAATTACGTTTGGCAGTAGTGCCAGGTTTTCCGAGAGATGGCACTTCAATAAGTTAGATAAAGACATTCCACGTGTTTAAGTGAGACAGTTTGAGTGAGACCTATTAAGGCGATGCTGGAAGGTCGGAAAAATTTGTACGAGGTCGATAAAGCAGACTCTTCAGTGTCAGTGGTATTTCTAAATGAACTTCTTACAATATCTTACCACTGACACTGAAGAGTCTGCTTTATGGACCTCGTACAAATTTTTCCGACCTTCCAGCATCGCCTTAACCGGTTCCATGATATAAAATCATAAATAATAAGAAAGAGGACTAACAAGCCTGACTAGGTGTTCTTGTCAATATTACCCAGTGAACAATAAGACGTCTTAAAGACGTCTTATGTCTGTCTTTTAGACGTCATATTACATATCTTTTAGACGTCTTATAAGACAGTTTAGACATCCTATACGACGTCTTTAAGACATCTTATAAGACACTTTTGGAATGTCCTATATGACATTCTTCAGATATCTTTTAGACATCTTTAAGACAACCAATAAGACATTTTTTTGACGTCCTATATGACATTTTTCAGACATCTTTTAGACATCTTTAAGACAACCTATAAGACACTTTTTGGGCATTCTATATTCTTTAGACATCTTTTACACATTACGTATATAGTATAATTTTAAGAATAAAAAGAGATAAAAATTTAGTTATGTTTTACTTGTTTTTATCTTAATTATTTAATTATTACAAATACATGAAAAATGAAAATTATTACAAATACAATGAAAAATGAAATTGTTAATGTTATATAGACATTACATTAACGTAATATTGGACAACTGCAAATACATATATACTGCAAGTCTTAAACAGTAAAAGAATATACATATAATACATTATATATATTTACGTATTAGAATATTAGATATATATATATATATATATAGATTATGGTATATATTCCAATATTCTAATACATAAAACAATAAAAAAATAAC